CCCCCCATCCATCCTGGATTTAACGGTACTGTGTTGCACGTCGTACAGACACTGGGAGCAGCTGATGTAAATGTTTCTCTGGATACTTTGGATACTGTCACTGGCTCAAGTTATCATTGACTCTGTTTGTCAGCAGCGCTTCTTCAGCACTCGCACTTAGCATGAACCATTTGACCGGACTTGTGCTGCATGTCACCCCATCACTGTGTTTTTGTATTTGTGTGTCAAGACTGAACTCAAAGCAGATTTGAGGGTAAAGGAAAAGTCCCAAACCGATGCAGGGTTACGCTGAGACGAAGATGCATCCATGTTTGAACTTAGGGAGGAAAAAGCCTTTATTCTTAAACTGTATCACTCTAACTATAACAGGGTTTCCCACAATGTTACATATGAGAGAAATATCCAGTTACAAAGACAGCCACAGAGATAAAGGCCACATTTACATTTGTCAATTCATGAATGTAATAGTCGTTTACATTTAGCAACATATATGCATCTCTTTTGGGCGAATAGTTTAAAAATGATATTCTGCTTCGATACATATTTGCTTGCGTTAAGCCTTTCAAAAACAGCATTTTTTTCAATATCCTCAAAATACTGCTGTCCTGCTGGCTGCACGCAAACAAAAGCTCACACTATTTAATCCCTTTACTCAAATGAAGGGTTTTTATCTTTAGGGAGATGACATCAAAAGCTTGATTTGACATTTTGAGCTTATCTGAAAACATCAATAAAAGCTTTGAATGTCAAAAGAAAATCCGTCGGATGTCGTACTTGATTTACTTTGGGTACTACATCTAAAACCAGGTCAACTCTAACATAACTGGATCTCAGTAATTCTCTTTTTTTTTTGTGAGTTACACTTCAAATTACTCTTAAAATTATAATGTTTTGTGGGGAAAAAATTATGATCTTGCCAACATCTAGTGGCCATCAACGGTTCTGCATCTTAAAGCTGCCTTATTTCATTTATTGTATACATAATGAATTAATGTGAGAGGATTTTGTACAGCTCTATGCAGATCTTCATTGAACTAGATCTGGTTGTATTCCTTATTCAGCTCAATGTTAACTGTTCAAGATACGAACTTCGACTCTGAATAAGGAAACTCCTGTTGACTTGCTAATATCTGTTTTGGCTCTCACCAGAGTCTTTCCATATCTGTTATCTGCGATCGAGATACTTAAATGTACCTTCATGACGCAGACGCCCAGCGCACACTCAGAGCTAAAACCTGAACATAAGCTGAGATAGAATAAAGGGCATCCCAAATAAACTAAATAATTGTGCACATAGAATAAGCGCCGGAATGAATGAATGAATATTTCACCCACAAAAAGATCCCTTGCATATTAATAGCTCACCTCCAGTCACCTTTAGTGAATACTGTCATGCCTTTACGGCGTCTTGATGAACTGAAGTAAATGGACGCGTTTCATAACATCAAACTCTTCCACAACGTGTGCAGTATAATCCAAGTGTCTTTGATCTAGCTCTCTACTTCACAAACACAGGGTTAGTGTCAGGGTTATGGTTAGATGATATGGTTGAATTATACGGTTTTAGCAACAAGTTGTACAGCTAGATAATGAGAATTGGATTATACTGCAAGGATTTCTTTTTAAGATATAATTGTATAATGTTACTGTATGTTGTTTACTCTGTCCCATTCTTTGATACTGTGTGTGAATGAACTCTGATGCAACAGGGCTGAGCCTCTGCAGAGCTACTTCTGGGTCTCAGGAGTGAAATAGGAAACGTCTCCTGTTAGCCAGGAGATATGAAGACTTCAGTGAAGGCTACTCGTGTTTTATGTTAAAAAGGAAAAGTATGTAATAGGTTTGAATTGTAGTGTTAAATATACTGTACTTTTGACTGTAGAGTCACTAATAAAGATGTTAGGTGCTCAGGGCAGACTGAACACTTTGTGATAACCTTCATTTATATGTGGTCATTCATACATTTATTTGACTAGAAACAAACAATTCATGAGGATAACATATTATAGAATGATTCATAATTGTATTGTTTGTTTATAGTAAAATAACTTGTTTGGGGTTTTTAATTCCAATGGTTATTGTAAATGTTTTTGTTCTTGTTTTTTCCCGTGGCCTCATTCTGATGACTGTTGGGTAATACCATGATCTCTGTTAACCTTAAGTGCTGCTTATGTTTCTGAGAAAGCAATACAACTTGAAATGTTAATAAAATATATGAAGAAATCATTATTTTGTTCCTTCTAGAAAGCCAAAAAAGAGAGGCGAAACATCGGTGAGGATTTTATTTAGCAGTTTAATAGCACTTCAGAAAGTCAAGCTGCGTCAAAGCACTCATTGTACAATGCACATTTATTATTATATTTATTATTATATTGTGAGGTTTAAGTCACTCCGCCTAATCTTACAGTTGGTTATACAACATTTGGGTTACATGTATAGCTTTACAGTTTCCAAATGAACAGATCATCTCTAAAATACCCCAGAAACCAGAGCAAAAGCCTCTTTTTCCAAAAAATAAACCTGTGATTTTTTTCTGGAGGAGCCCAGAAGGTTGTTTACAGAAACAAAGTGATCTGAAGTTTTTTCTAAATGCTTATTCTTATTTAGCTATTAGATTGAGAAACTATTTTTTTGCTGCATTCTTAAAAAATATTATTGAACCCTTTCTCGATTCCCCCTCAATTTAAAATATATTGACTTTTCTTGTTCAATATGTTTTCTTTGTGTTTTACAAACAAATGTTTTCTGGCTACCTGGATGACAAATACAGCAAATTGAGAAACGGATAAAAAAAATTTTGTGTTTATTGTGAAATAGATATAACAATAATTGTAATGTTTAGAAAAGTATTCTAGATAAGAGAGTAATATATTAATTTTCTGTGGAAAGGTTACTTAGCTCTGTGGCATCATTATAAATAAATATAATAGACATTTAAATATTTAAACTACATTTAATATAAAGACATTTTCAATATTAAATTCACATAAAAAAATTTGAAGATCATTTTGTGCGCATTTAAAAATGTTGAACTAAACCAGACCTGGATGTGTCCTTTCAACCGTGTTCAAATTGTTACTTTTCATTCATAAATCATGTTTTTCCTAACTCCAAATTATTTGTTGTTTTACTTTGAAATGAATTTGTTTCCATTGTGTCATAAAATATCTAAAACTCCTTCAAGTTATAGTATAAGGAAACTATTTAAATAATTTAAATTAAATGTGTAAAATATTTCTGGCACAGGTTCTGCCATAGAAAAAATATATATTGTTGTGAATATGTATTATTATTATTATACTTTTTGCCAACTTGTTTGTGTAAGTCCCTCTAGAATGTCAACATAAATCCATTGTGATATTCAAATATCTCTTCCACGTTATAATATAAGGCAACTTTATAAATAATTTAAATTAAAAGTGTGGAAATATTCCTGGGCCTCTACTCGTCGGGGGAGTAGGACTCCTCGCGGGGGTCCAGTGGGGGGGACGGGGAGCGGGACGGAGGCTCCTCCTCCTGCAGATCCAGCGAGTTCTCCTTGATGCTCCTCCGGCTGAGGCCCCCCCCCAGCCCCAGGCTCCTCATGCCTCCTCCACTGCTGCTGCGGGGGCTCGGGCTGCTGAACACCGCCTCCCCCCCGCTGCCACGCCTGGGAACACCCGCCACACCAGGAGGAAGAGGAAGAGGAGGAAGAGGAGGTCAGGAGGAGATTGAGGAAAGAGGAAGGCGCCTTATTGCAAAGCGAGTTTGAACAAAATAAAGGTTAAAGCCCCGTAAAAGTGAAAAGAGAGCGATGAGGAAATGAGAAAGAGAAGTCCCGTTGAAGCAGAGAAGAATATCTGCAGGAAGCTTTGAGGCAGTTTGCAGATCAGTAGTGTCTGAGGGAAGTGAGGCAGGACCAAAGGAGGAGGACGACATTTAATAATAGCAAAGACGTGCAATATTATTCAATATTTAAGAAATCTTTCAACAAAAAATATACCAATATATATAAACAACTATTTCTAGGACTTTTTCAATAGAATACATTTTGTTGTATTTGTGATTAGTGATTTCTTTTGTTTGGATTTCTCGGATTTGGCTAATTTTGTTTTAATATTTTTTACTATTTATTTTGTCGGGAAGTATTTATTTAGTTATTTTTCTAAAAATAAATGTATTTAGTAAATTAAAATCACAAAATAAACGTTATCTGATCTTTTTTAAATATTATTTGTTTTCTTGTGAATTTTAATTTGTATTTTGTTGTGATTTATTAAAGTAATATTTATTTAGATGTTAATAGTTTTTTAAATACAAATCATTGTGATGTATGAAATAGCATTTATGTAACAGCTCCTCGTGTCCCTGCCGTACCTCAGTTTGCTCCTGAGTGAAGCCATGTCTCTGTTCATCGTGTCGTTGGCCTCGCTGGCCTCCTCCAGCTCCCTCTGCAGCTTCCTGCGAGCGGCGGCCACGCGCTGAGCCTCCTCCTCCGCCTCCTCTAGCTGGTGCTTCAGCTGCTTCACTCTCACGTTGCCCTTCTCCGCCTGCACAAAGCAGCAGCAACAAGTAGCATCAGTAAATACAGTTACATGCAGCTTTACATACTTCTACACTAACTTTATTTACCTGGTCTTTGTACTGCTGCGCCTGCTTCCTCTCGTCCTCCATCTGGATGGTTAAATCCTTCAGTTTCTTCTCCTTCTGACGCAGATTCTTGGCGTTGGACTGACGCTCTCTGCACAAAATAAATGCAAAATATCACCAAACATTTATAAGATAGAATAAGATAACAAAAACCTGTATAACAATGTAATAATGTGCCTGTACAATAATGATCTTTTATGTAACTTGGTTTCGCTGCATGATTGTTAGTTGGAAATGAACTTGACAAACTCCGTTTCCCACCATGCACCAATACCTGCTCTCGATCTCCAGCTGCTCCTCCGCCTCTCTCAGTTTGAACTCCAGGGCGGTGATGGAGGACTTGAGTTTGGAGCGGCCCTGGCCCTCCACCTCCTGCAGCTTGGCCTTCAGCTCCCGGGTCTGCCTCTCCAGCTGCTGCCGGGACGTCTCCTTGCTCTGAGAGGTGGAGCGCTCCACTGCCAGCTCCGCACCCAGCTGATCCACCTGCACACCGAGGGACAAGAGGAAAAGGAATTCACTCGGGGAGGAAACGCCTTAAACCAGTGGTTGAAGAAGTACTCAGATGTTTAAGCAGTAAGATTAAGTTGTAAAAATACAGAAGTCAAACTTCTGCATTTGAAATGTTACTTAAGTAAAAGTAGAAAAGCATTCACATCAACATATACTTAAGTAGTAAAAGTAAAATTACTTTCAGAATCTTTTATTTAAAAATATTGAATTATTGATGCATTAATGTACAGTGGGGCAAAAAAGTATTTAGTCAGCCACCAATTGTGCAAGTTCTCCCACTTAAAAAGACGAGAGAGCCCTGTAATTTTCATCCTAGGTATACCTCAACTATGAGAGACAAAATGAGAAAAGAAAAAAAATCCAGAAAATCACATTCTCTGATTTTTAAAGAATTTATTTGCAAATTATGGTGGAAAATAAGTATTTGGTCACCTACAAACAAACAAGATTTCTGGCTCTCACAGATCTGTAATTTCTTCTTTTAGAGCCTCCTCTGTCCTCCACTTGTTAACTGTATTAATGGCACCTGTTTGAACTTGTTATCAGTATAAAAGACACCTGTCCACAACCTCAAACAGTCACACTCCAAACTCCACTATGGCCAAGACCAAAGAGCTGTCAAAGGACACCAGAAACAAATGCTGCACCAGGCTGGGAAGACTGCCGAGAACGGGAGAATTATTAGAAAATGGAAGACATACAAGACCCTCATTTGGCTCAGACGAGAGAGCCCTGTNTGGGGCCATGTATCGTGAGATTTTGAGTGACAACCTCCTTCCATCAGCAAGGGCATTGAAGATGAAACGTGGCTGGGTCTTTCACCATGACAATGATCCCAAACACACCGCCCGGGCAACGAAGGAGTGGCTTCGTAAGAAGCATTTCAAGGTCCTGGAGTGGCCTAGCCAGTCTCCAGATCTCAACCCCATAGAAAATCTTTGGAGGGAGTTGAAAGTCCGTGTTGCCCAGCGGCAGCCCCAAAACATCACTGCTCTAGAGGAGATCTGCATGGAGGAATGGACCAAAATACCAGCAACAGTGTGTGAAAACCTTGTGAAGACTTACAAACGTTTGACCTCTGTCATTGCCAACAAAGGGTATATAAAAAAGTATTGAGATTAACTTTTGTTATTGACCAAATACTTATTTTCCACCATAATTTGCAAATACATTCTTTAAAGATCAGACAGTGATTTTCTGGATTTTTTTTTTCTCATTTTGTCTCTCATAGTTGAGGTATACCTAGAAAATTACAGGCCTCTCACCTTTTTAAGTGGGAGAACTTGCACAATTGCTGGCTGACTAAATACTTTTTTGCCTCACTGTATATATCCCAGCAGGTAATGGCTAAGTAGGATTTAATTTATATAGCACTTTACAATACACATATTTATAAACACAAGACACATATGCAAATAAAGTCCTAAATAAATAGCAGCTCCTATAAAGATGCGCAGGAAAGATTCCCTAAACCCAGAAACAAGTCAGCTTTTGAGCAATTCTTTAATAAATGTGTCAGTACATAGTCAGCTCTTACCGTACTGTAGCTTCTTTTGTCTTCAAAATGGGAGCTGCTTATGACACTGGAAAATGTCATCACTATGACATCAGCAAACTTTAGCTTTGTCGTGGGGAGATGAAGTCATATGACCGTGCTTTAGTTACATTATAGCCTAGCGTTAGCTTTTTATTACTGGTGATTGCATTTGTGCCTCAAAAATATATATAACTGTTAGTATGTGGACATTATTTTGCTGAACAAAACGTGTAAGTATCATAAACCCTGATTTTTTTCTGCCACCCTAACCCACTAAGCAGTTTGCCTTAATGTAACATGAAAAGGTAAAAAAACATGGGGACCAGGATTGAACCCTGTGGAATTCCGCAGAGTTAAAGGAGTATATGAGGACGTAGAATTATCTTTGGCAACTTTAAAATGCCTATTTGATGAGCAGGACGACTAAACCCACTCCACTCTCTCCCACACCCTCACCAGCTGCTGGCTCTTTCTCAGCCGGTCATTGAGGCTCTCCACGTTGGCCTGCTCTTCCTCCAGCTCCTCCTCCATTTGGCTGATCTTTGCATCCATGCGGCGATTTTCATCAGACAGCATTGATCTGAAGAAAAAGGGGCGGAGTATCGAGAGATGAGCACAAACAAGAATGGAATGTTGGGAAGTAAATACAAAATAAGATGAAATTCACACAGTTTTAGAGCTAATTTGTCTGATAATATCTTCAATGTAACTTACCATATTTTAAACTATTATCTTCTCTTTTTACCTCACCAATAAAAAGATGAATTGTAAAGCTTTAGAACTGAATGAGGTTTTTAGTTGTATGGTCCTTCTTATTTGACACAAACTCCAACACAATGCATTTTACACATGAACATCATCAAATAAAATATAAACATGTGTTCATCAAACAAGACACTCACTTTCCTGAGGAGTTACTGGTGAGCTCATCAGCCAGCTCGTCTCTTTCTGTCTCCGCCTGTTTACGAGCTCTCTCTGCAGCTGCCAACATCTGGACAGACAGACAGACAGACAGATAGAAAGACAGACAGACAGACAGGCAAGACACACTTTTAAGAATAGTGACCTTATGATCAAAATATGATATCAAAATCATATTGATGGGTAAATGCCTGGTAAATGATCAAAATCACAACACATCCCATCCAACCTGATTTTGAGTTCGTAGGAGCGTTTAGGATATTATTATTTGTGTAATTATTTTTTAATATAAGAGTTGCTCTCCTCAGCACGATGCTAAAACTTAGCAAAGAAAAAAAGGTGGTTTATTTAAAATGCAATCAATGTGGGCAAAACAAGATGGTAACTGTACACTTAAAGGTAGCTAGGTAAGAATGGAGAAACCAGCTCGAGTGCGCTAGAATTTGAAAGTACGTAGCCGAACAAAATCTGCCACTTCCTTCAGACTTCCTTACAGAGCCCCTCCTCCAACACACACGAACGTGCACACGAGATAAGTTTGTGCACAGATGGAAGGCTGACAGGCAGGTAGGCCATCCAGTTATTTTAGCCGGGCCGGTGAAAATGATTGGTCGTGCTTTTTAGAGTACTACGGCTTCCACAGATGACATTTTTTTATGTATTTATTGTCAAAGCATTTAATATATGCATTGCTATCGGGATGTTAAGAGCATTCCATGGAATATAACAAAAAGTGTTCCTGAAGTGAATTACCTACCCCACCTTTAATGTGAGAGGGTATGCTGTACAACATGTACGTGGGTGCAATTTCAAAGCCATTGTCCTTTTTGATGTGATGTTTTTATTGATATTTTCCTGGGGGAGACCAAACAATGGTCCTGCCTCTTATAAAATGTAGTTTATTTTGAAGCAGCAGGGTTAAAAGGCCTCACCTCGTGCAGGTGGGCGATGTCGGCCTCCATGGCCTTGGTTCTGCGCTCAGACTCTCTGGCTGAAGACAGCACCTCCTTCTGGGCCACACAAGAGTCCTCCAGGTCCCTCTGGAGATCCTTCACCTGGCCCTGAGAGGAGAGCAGAGGATGTCAGGTTTTAAATGACTCTTAACGTAAAGCTTAGTAACTCAATCAAAATAAGGAATTACAGGATGCAGTTTGATTGTTGCTTATCAATAGGAAGATATTGAAAAATGAAAAGAGTGTGCTGACCTGGATCTTGCGGAGCTGCTTGACGGCCTCGTCGCGAGCCCTGCTGGAGGCCTCCAGCTGGTCCTCCATGTCCTTCAGCTCCCCCTCCAGCTTCTTCTTGCTGCCTGAGGCCTGGCCGCGCTGCTTCCTCTCCTCCTCCAGCTCCGACTCCAGCTCTCGCACCTGATGCAGCAACAGAGGGACAAAGTTACAAAGTCCTGTGTTGAAATGAATACTAGCATTAGAATGAGAATTAGAATCAAGTTTATTGCCAGGTACGTTTAGACATACAAGGCATTTGCGCTGGTATCTGGGGGTGCGAACATAAACAATCTAATAAAAATAAGGTGCAATAGTAGGTAAAACATTTTTTAAAACTATTTAGCAGCCTAAGGTTCCACCAGGATCAGCACAGCTAGAAAAAACAAAGACCTGCAGGAAGTGTAACATCTTCCCGTCCTGCAGCATGCTCACATCTCACAGCGGCTCCTTTGTACTCCACCTGTTTGACGAGCTGCTTCCTCTTCTCCTCGCCCAGCTCATCGCGGCCGTGCAGCTCCCTCTCATGCTGCGCCCTCAGAGCCTGGATGTTGACCTCAAGACGCAGCTTGGCGTCCTCGGCGACCTGCAGCTCGTCCTCCAGCTCGTCCATCTGCATCCTCATCTCGTCCGCCATGGCCTCCAGGCCGCGCTTCGCCTTCTCCAGGTCGTGGACCTGAGGCAGGACGGAGAGAAGTCAACATCAGAAACAAAAAGAAGTGTATTCATGTCCTGATGTTCACTCTTAAGCTCTTTCCAACATAGTCTTAAAAACTTCACATTTAATTCATACGTTAATGCAATATTTGTTATTATATATATATTTATTTTTTGATTTTATCAATTATTTATAAAATGTTTGAGACTTCAGAAAAATGTATTTAAAATAATTTATTACCAATGAAAATATATTTTTTGGTAAAAGGATTGAGCTCCCTTTTCACAACATGTTTTTTTGGGCATTTTATACGTTTATAAATACGAGTAAGGAAGTGATGGGACACAAAACACACAGAACAAAATAATGTTGAAAAGGAGTAATTAATCAAATGTTATTTATTTTTCACTTCCTTTTTTAAATAACGCGTGAGTAATCCATTTATTTATGATGTTTCTCTTACGCTCTTTCCCACGTCGTCCTTGGAGCTGATGAGGTCCTCCATCTCAGCCTTCAGACCCTTGGTGGTTTTCTCCGCCTCCTCCAGAGCGTCCTGGCTGTCCTCCAGCGCCCGGGCCAGAGATAACAACCGCGTCTCCTTCTCCCTCACCTCCGCCTCCGCCCGATCACGCTCCTCAGCAAATTTACAAGACACGGCGCGCTCCTCTGCCAACATCTGAGGGGCACGAGGAGGAAAGAGACACGTTGAATCTACAGCTTAAGCAAAGTTCAATTTGAAAATACATTTAGGATCTTTTTTTTTCACTTTTTGCTTAATGCGAAAGGCTTCTGGTTCTTTATTAATACTTAGAAAAAATCATAACATTTAGTTTGCATTAAAAAAATTAAATATTTAATGTAAAGTCAGAAGAAATAACTATTCAGAAAATACTACTACTCATCTTTTATAATTATAAAATGTCTTGAATATTATTTAAGACACTTCAATACCAATAAATTCATTATTTTTGAATAATATATATTTTTAGACTTTTTAAGGATAAGTGGGAAAACCTTTGAGAGGAGTTTTTATTAAGACTTATTGGAGCACTTTGTACTTCTTTTAGTGTGAATTATGGGATACAAAACCCAAAGCACTTGTGTGAAAACAATACATTTAAATTAGGGTCGTCACATTATACCCATATACACAATAATCATGATTATATTGTGTAAAATAATCCAGCGCCTCTTAATCAACGCCGCACACACAGACACAAAGTTAAATAATGACTAAAAGGGATTAAAGTCTAATATTCATTTCTTATTGATAGAGATTATATTGAGGATTCTGTCTTAATTAATAATTGTGTAAATAATAATTATAACGTTTCTATATCCCTATGACATATTAGATCAAACAACTTTATTTATCTTTCACAGCACAGTAACTCTTATTCCGTTTTTTTTATGCCGTCTTATTTTATTTCAGATTGCTTTTTATATTTGTGCTGGCTTTAATGGCAATAATATACAATGTGTTTTATTTATTATGTTTTAAATGTTTTTGTAAAGCACATTGAATGACCTTGCTGTTGAAATGGGCCATATAAGTAGCCTTGCCTCAGCTATGAAAAACAATAAAGTTATATGTATTTTTTATACACCTGGTCAAACTTCTTCTGCCTCTTCTCCAGGTTGGAGACGGCCTGCCGCTGTCCGTCCAGGTCCATCAGCACGTCCTCCAGCTCCTGCTGCATGCGGCTGCGACTCTTCTCCAGCTTATCGTAGGCCGCCGCCTTCTCCTCGTACTCGCTGCTGGCCGCCTCCAGGTCGCGCTGCAGACGCTTCTTCCCCTCCTCCAGCATCTCCACCGCCCCCGAAGCCTCCTCCAGCTTCTTCTTGTAGTCTGACAGCTGACATGAGGAGAAGGGTGAGAGAAAACTTGAACATTTACATGTCTTCAGTTGTAACGTTCAATGTAGCCAAGTACAGAAAAAGAAGAAGCTTAAAGGTAATACAAACGGGTTTTTGAGAGATTGTAAGAAAATGTATTGGCATCTATAAAGTTGATTTTGAATAATTAGTTTGGGTGTTATTTTAAATGTAATACTTTAACTACATTTGACTGATTTAATATACTTAATTACTTTTAGTTATGATATATTTTCAATGCATGACTTTGACTTCTAACAGCATTTTCTCTGTACTCTCCTCACCGACAGTTAGACAGTCACTGACCTGCATGCTGAGGCTGGAGAGCTGCCTCTCCACAGCCCTCTTGCCCTCCATCTCCTCCTCCAGCTGCTCCATCAGGCTGTTCCTGTCCTCCTCCATCTGACGCAGACGCCCCGACACATTCAGCTTCTGACGGGTCTCCTCCGACAGCAGCTCCTGCAGGAGAAGGAGGGGGAAAGAAAGGTGTCAGCAACCTTTTTGGTCCAGACAAAATATCTCCAAAATTACCTAAAAAAACAAAACACGTGCAACGCGGACTGTACTTTTTGAAAAATATCTGTTGTGGGACGACTTCATATAAATAAGACCACTCCCATTTAAGAGACAAGAAATTCCCCACTTGTACAATAGCTTGTAATGCTTCACTTCAAGAGCATCTTCATGACATTTAGAGCAATCTTTATGTAAACCCCCCACCTGTGCGTCCTGCAGCTGGGAGGACAGACTGGAGACGTCTTTGCTCAGCTTGATGTTCTTCCCCTCCGCATCGTTCAGCAGACCGGTCACACCGTCCAGCTCCATCTGACGGAGGCCGAGCAAACGAGAAGATAGATAAAATAAGAAGATAAATAAAGTCTCTAATATACAGTTTTATATATACTGTCCACATTATAAATAATCTCGCAGCGGTAAAACCAGGACTAACTCCTGGTTGCAATTACCAAAGAAAGAAAATACAAGATCACACTAAAACCGACAAAAGAGCAAAGTCAAATCAAAGCATCCTGCTTAACACTTAAATGCACTTATATCAGCAGATCTTCAAACAAACATGAATCAAACAAAAAATGATAATATATATACAAATATTTTTGAAATGGAGTAAAGGAAAAATAAACGCTTAATATGATCACCTTATAATCTCTACACTAAATGTTCTTTTACAATGTAACTAATGAACAAAACAACCTAAACTTCATAAACTTTGTCCAACTTTTCAAATCATTTTTAGAATTTAGAAATTGACTTGCAATATGTCCTTTTAAAAAAACAGTAGAACTAATTAATAATATAACCGTCTATCTCAGTAAAAAAAAAAGTTTGTTCAAAGAAATCTCTTGGAAACAGCAAGAACAATAAAGAAATATTGATTTTTTTCTTTAATTTTTTGTGATATACGGCATTCTTTATTTATTTATCTCACAGTCATCTTGGAGACCCGCTCCCCCAGCTCGGTCCTCTGCCGCTCGCTCTCGCTGAAGCGTCCGTTCAGGTCGTTGAGCTGCGCCTCCGCCTTCTTCTTCTTGTGCTCCACGTCCTGCTTGGAGCTGCCGAGGGAGCGCAGGTCAGCGCTGAGGTCCGCCTGCTCCTTCTCCAGAGCCTGCTTCGCCTTCTCCAGACCCGCTCTCACCTGGGGGCAGAGGGGGGGGGTTCATGACACACTGCTCCTCCCTAAATATATCTTTATTGATTAAAAGGAAGCAGGCCTGAGAAAGTAATTCAAACCACCTTCATCAAATATCATTATCTTTCATTACTTCATTCTTTATTTCAGTCATCACGTGTGTTTATATTGCTACTTTTATAAACGCATTCTCCATAAAAACAGTTGAAACTACACCAGGTGAACTGTAAAATATAGTTAACGTGGAAATATAGGGACACATTTTAAGTATTTCTAAACTAGACGTGAGAACATATTTTGTAATTAATGCAATTTGAGTAAACTGACCCTTTAATATCAGAGCGAGGAAATGTTGTGTCCCAGGTATGCATCAGTGTGTGTCTGTCTGTCTGTCTGTCTGTCTGTCTGTCTGTCTGTCTGTCTGTCTGTCTGTCTGTCTGTCTGTGTGTGTGTGTGTGTGTGTGTGTGTGTGTGTGTGTGTGTGTCTGTGTTTCTGTGTGTGTGTGTGTGTGTGTGTGTGTGTGTGTGTGTGTGTGTGAGTGTGTGAGAGTACCCTCTTGGCCTGCTCCAGCTGCTCGTTGAGCTCCTCCACAGCCTGGCTGTGTTTCTGTCGGAGGTCCTGGACCTGAGCCTCGTGGCCCCGGCCCTCGTCCTCCGTGGCTTTCTTCAGCAGGGCCACTTCCTGCTCACGCTTCGCCCTGTCAGGTACAAATACACACATATGACGTACAATAAATACACACACAACACTACACATCTGGGGTCACAGCGGTCTCTTTTTATGCAGATGAAACCCTTTTTTATTCTTCTGCACAATCTTAGAAAGAAGCTGTTTTTAACATTGTTTAACACAGATTTTAATATTTAATATTTGCTTTAAATGAAGTACCTTTAATGTTATCACCGTAAAGAGTGCAAGGATTAAGCTATGATCTGTTTGAACAAATATATAGAATATTTATTTTATCTTAAAAGTCCTAGGCCATTATAAATGTAAACTCCTTTAGATGTTGCCATTTTGTAAGTGTACCTGGTTACAAACTTTGAAATGACACATATACCGTGATAGAAGACTTTGACCACACAGTAGACCCCCACCGGTACCCACCGCAGCTCCTGCTGTGCGGCGGTGGTGTCCAGGCTGTCCTCCAGCTCGGTGCGGAGAGCGTTCAGCTCCTCTCCCAGATCCCTCCGGGCCGCCTCCACCTTCCCCCGGGCCCCCCTCTCCGCCTCCAGGTCCTCCTGCAGCTCTGAGAGAAGAGCCTCCAGCTCCCGGACTCGCTTCACCGCCGCGCCGCGCTGATTACACTCCTCCTCCAGCCTGGGGACACAGGGAAGGTTCTGATAACGTTTCTAATATCTTCACATCAAACTAAGCATTAAGGACTTTTATGTAGAAACATCTCAGTGAGTTGGCTGCTAAGACACACTAAGGGCTCTGTGTTGTTTCTTGTAAACAGTTTGTTTAAACATATGCTCACTCACTATGAGAGACCACACAAATCCACGCACTAGAGATCTGCAGTGTCATAGAATATAGTTGTTTTGCGTTAGTTGTCTCACTTATCACTCTCTTAACCTGCCAGGTCAAAATGGTTCTGGCCATCAACTTCTATAAAAAAGTACCCAGCAGGTTTAGACCAATATAAGCCTGAATTCAGGAGGAAATCTTTAGATCTTTGTGTCGGGAAAAGACTGTTACATTATCTTTACATATAAATAAACAGAATACAGTATCAACACCTGTTATAACTCCGGAATATTTCCTTTAGCGCCCCTCCCAGGATAATCTTTACATGTTTAGCTCCACTGCTGATTATTCTGTGTAACACCGTGTTGAAATGTTATCTGAACCTCCCCAGTTTACCGGGCCTGCGTGGCCTCCAGCTCCTCCTCCTTGGCAGCCAGCTGGGCTCGGAGCTCTGCCAGTTGGTTCTGCAGGTCGGCGTTCTGCTCCTGGAGGTCGGCCAGCTCCGCCTCCACCTTCCTCTTCGCCTTCTCCACGTCCTGACGGCCCCTCTCCTCCTTCTTCATACGCACTGCAGCAGAGAGGAAAACAGTGTCACTGACCTTTTATTAAGGTTCATTATACAAAAACTGATTTTTAAGGTCATCAAGTCTTGTGAGTCCCCTTATTTGTTTCAAATCACTGGTCCCCTAGAGTGGGGCACCTGAGAAGAAATTGGATTGTACAGCCTCGAAAATACAATGCAAGTTATCTTTTATAGGCTAAATCTCACCTACAAAGATCCGAAATGGGATTTTAGCCTTTGCAGACCATTTCCGTGCACAAAGAAATATATATAACACACCACAGGAAAGGAAAACCCCCCAAAGGCATAATATGGGCCCTTTCTTTTCAGTACATGTACACAGTCAAATGGCTTGGGATCAAAAAAGCAAGCAGACATATTTCTTTAGAAGTAAAAGTTTTATGATTGCTGGTGCCTTTACTGTGTTTGTGTCTGTTACTGTGTGCTTTTATCCATTCCGCTGTCTCCCTTAAAAAAAGATCCTTAATCTCATTTGGACTTTTCCATTTAACTGCAAAATAAAGCACCATTAAGGAATAGAGTATTGTGAGTGCTTTGCTGCCTCACCTTCCAGGTCTGAGATCATGGACTCATGCTTGGTTTTGAGTTTGGTCAGATTCTTGGACTTCTCCTCCTCCTCGGTCAGGTTGGAGTTCATGTCCGACATCCTCTCCTCCAGAAGCTTTCTCTCCTGAAAACACACAACAGTAAAGATTGCATTGTGCTATCTACCTAGCAAACCTTCCAGAGTGTTTGTACCTTCTGCAGCTTGTTGTTCTGGTCCTCCATCACCAGAACGTCCTCCTCCAGTTTCTTCACTTTCCCCTCCACAGACGCTTTCTCCAGCTGCAGCTTCTGACAGGAGTCCTCCTGCTCCGCGATGTGGGCCTCCATCAGCTGCAGAGAAAACAGCGGGACATTACAGTTTGGATAATGCCAAGTAAGCTTGGTCTAGTGAAATGGTCAATACATAGCATCAAAATAGCAGGATAAGAGCCAAAAATGAATATTTTAAAATCTTCACATTCATATTTCCTCATAGGACCAAGCATCGAACCTGGGGGGACAGAGCCTTCTCCGTCGCTGCCCCCTCCCTCTGGAACTCACTCCCCAAACACATCTGTAACTTCACCGATATCACCATGTTCAAAGCACAAATAAAAACTCAACTTTACAGAACTGCTTTTAATCTGTAATTAATGGTGTGTTTTATATTTTAATTTAATTTTAAGTGTGTGTTTTAATTATGTTTTTTAATGAATTTTTACTCTGAAAAGTGTCTGGGTTTCCAGAAAAGCGCTCTATAAATGAAATGCATTATTATTATTATTACTATTATGATTAATAAACACGTGTAAAAATAAGAATATGATAATTACTATGAGAAAATATATATAGTATATTTAGACAATAACATTTTGTAATTTCACAGTTTTTTTTTAAACAATGTCTCTCTGTCTTTTAGTTTATCAGAATTGTTATGACTATGATTATTAATATAATAATTCATTTATACCAATAATATATTATTATTATATTATTATTCGTATTATTCGTATTATTATTATTATACTATGTTATTTTTATATAATATTTGTATTGTTGTTGTTATTAATATTGTTGTTATTATTATTATTAAAATAGTGCTGTGCCCCCACCTGCAGCTGCTGCTCCGTCTCCTTCCTCTCCTGCGTCAGGGCATGGCTGCGGTCCTCCTCCTCCTCCAGCCGGGCCTCCATCTCGTGCAGCACCTCCTCCAGCTCCTGCTTCTTGGTCTCCAGCCGCAACTTCATCTCCTCCGCCTCGGCGTATAACTCCGTCTCCGCCTGGAGCTTCGTCTCCAGCAGGGTGCGCTCCTCCATCAGCTACAAATACACACTTCAGTCACTTCAGGATCTTCTAAAGTTCAAATCTAATCTAAATTGATTAAACGATTTTCTCTCACCTGGGTGTGTTTCTGCGAGATGTCTTTCAGCTCCGCCTCAGACTTCAACGCCACCTCCTTCGCCGACTTGAGCTCGTCATCTTTCTGACCCATCTCCTCTTCCTGTCTGGTGACCTGCAGCAGGGGCTTCACCTGGAACACACACACACACACACACACACACANCGCTGTAGTACATATGCCAGGCCTGTAGGTGGTGCTGTTCTCACAGAATCAGCCCGTGATGCAAAGACAGTGTTCAATTGAGAGAAATGAGGAATGGCTAAAATGCATGATCTGTTTGGTATTTTGAAAAATGAAAAGTATAAATATGCCTTATATAGGTATGGTCCTATACTATATTATTCAAATATAGCATGATAGGTCCACTTTAAAGGTGGGGAGGTAAGAATGGAGAAACCAGCTCGAGTGCGCTAGAATTTGAAAATACACAGCCGGAACAAATCTGCCCCTTCCTTACAGAGTCCCTCCTCCAACACACACGAACGCGCACATGACCAATGAGGGCACGAGATAAGTTTGTGCACAGATGGAAGGCTGACAGGCAGGTAGGCCATCCAGTTACTTTAGCCGGGCCGGCTCAGATGATTGGTCGTGCTTTTTACAGTACTACGGCTTCCAAATGACATTTTTAATGGATTTTTTGTCAAAGCACTTCAGATATTCATTGCTATCGGGATGTTAAGAGCATTCCATGGAATATAACAAAAAGTGTATCTCGAGCCGGTTTCTCAAACTTACCTACCCCACCTTTAAAGTAGAGAATTGCCTCTAGATTCATGTATATTTTATTATCGGTGTCAAATGAATGATGCATTAATGTGTTCATCTCTTTAACCGTACAGCTGGTAAGTATAGAGCATATTCTACTAGATGTGTGTACTTCTCCACAGTTCAATCTAAGATAATACTCCATCCTTTATCAGCTGATTATATTTTGTATTTATCATTTTAGTCGTAAAGTAAATACAGCTTGGAGTAGAGTAACAAGAAACAAAACTCCATCTAAAACGTATTGGAGAAGAGGCATAAAGTAGGATTAAATAGAAATATAAAAATGAGATACTTCTACTTCCCTTACTTACAGAACTTGAGCAAATGTACTTATTTACATTAAAGCACCGGTCTGTTGTTAATCAAACATTCATTTTCTGACACATCACAGAGTTTTGATTTGTATTCTAACTATTTAGTCTCTAATATATGACAGAATTAAGTTTCAGAGCTCCAACAGCATCCAAGATTTATATTGCATTGTCCAAGCTTTTCCTACAACATATTGAGTATTTTACATGGACGTGCGTACATGGTATACTTCCTGAAAGCAGACAACTACTGATCAGAATTAAGTGCCCATAAATAATGCGTGGATCACCAATCAGATGAATTGTTGCAGCGTCTGCAGAGACACGGCCCTGACCCCTCAGAGGAAACATCAGAAATATTGAATGCTGCAGAGGATATTAATAATGCATCTCCAAACATAACCCTCCGTCTAAAAACAGGAGGAACCGTTTTATCATTGACCCGACTGTCGGCTCGAGGCATCAAGTGAAGCAGTAAAATGTCAGCGCGGAGACGTTACAGGAGGTTTGCTTTGTACACATCTTGATGTTGACTTTATCAAAGCGTTTCAGAGAGAGACTGACAAGTCTGTTTGCAGCTCAGAGTCTTACTGTGAACCCGGAGATGTTGAGGACCCCAAAGTTTCATGATAGAAATGTATAGTAAGGGTCCCAAGCACATAGACACTGCAGGACGCTAACTTGCATATGTTGGGCAATTAGCACAATTAGCATAAGTTGCATTCATTATCATATGCAGACAATATTAAAAAAAATGGACGCTATGGACCATGTTGGAGTGTTTTTGGAGGTTATTGAGGATGTTGGATCCATTCCTGACATTTTCAGGATAAAAAAAATGGCAGTTTAAACCAGGAAGTGGTCATATTTGTACTCCTGATGGGCTGATTTTGATGAATTTTGGGTTGATTTTACGTTTAAAAAGGGACTCAAAACTAAATGTTTGATCCTAAAATGTCAGAAACGTATTCAACATCCTCAATATGCCTCAAAAACCACACCAACATTTTCCAAATCCGTCAAGCCATGTTTCTAGCTATTCCTATGTATGTCTGCATATAGATATTAATGCCAATATAAATGAAAGTGTGCAAAATGTCCAAACATATGCAAGTTAGCATCCAGTAGTTTCTATGTGCTGGGGACCCGCACTCTACATTTCTAACATTAAACTTGTGTGTTCTCAACATCTCCGGGTTCACAGTGCAAGTAGACTAGTAGAGATGAAGACAGGTAAGAAGCGGCTGCTCACCTTCTCCTCCAGCATCCATTTCTCCTGCTGCACCTCGGCCAGGCGCTGGAACAACTCCCCGACCTCGTCGTCAGATAACTCGGCCGGACGCTGAGACTGAGGGCTGCCTCCTCCAGACTGACACACAGAAAGGAGAAACACGTTATTAGATATCATCACACACAGTTTGTACAGAGAAAAAGACTTCAGGTCATCCACACTTGCAGCCTTTTAGGTGTGGAAACCTTAGCATGCTTCGATGAGAGTGCTTATCGAGGGGTGCAGGAATGACTCCTTAACGTGGAACCGAGTCATCACTCTAGCAATCTCGGGTTAGGTTTTCTGAACGTGTTTGTGGTTGTAAACCTGAAATAAGAGATTTTAACATTTTGCTCTACGGCAGGGTTTAAATGAGACGACTAAATGTCACCACGCCGAACATTAGCCGCCTTTAGCTTAGCGGTGGTGACGTGAAGTAGTTCCTTTATAACCTACTGTTAGCTTTTTACTTTGAAGATCATAAAGTGTTGTTAATCTGTGGAGATTATCCGGCTGAACCAAACTGGAGGTATCATAAACGTATTTGCCCCAGAGATTATTTTCTGCAACAACCGGAAATAATATGGAAAAATTCCAAATGGCTTTTGTCGAGGGAACATTTGCGATGCTAACTTCCTACAAAAAATCCCTGCACCACTTCCTATTGCGCCCGAGACGTCCTCTCATTTCCTATTTTACAAATATGGGGAAAAGGAAACAGTCATGGATCCCAGAGATTGTCTTTTATCACACAATTAGAGCTATAGTCAACCAAAGCAGTGACAGACCAGGATATTGAATCCCACATATTGTTTATCCGTAATGTTTTAATTCATTGCATATTTGAAAAATGTCTTTCTTTGTTCTGCTTTCTTTGTTCTTAGATCAAAGGCGGCATTTATACTTTGCCACATGGATTTGCAATGCTGCAATCAATTGTGAACTTGCCTCATGGAAACAGACGTAGAAACCAGTAGACATAGTCAGAACACTTTTTCATTTGAAATGCAGCCTTAGGAATTAAAACACAAACAAGATTTTCTTTTATGACTGTATATATATATAATATATATACACTGGGAGGTTGTTCAACGTGGTAAACAGACACTGATTTGTCTTGTGACGCTGTTATTAATGACGACCGCCACAACACAGTAAACTGACCTGACGGCGGCCTCAGCAGAGTCTCGTGTTTATGACAGAAACTCAGCTGCATAAACTGAACCTGTCTGCTCTATTTACAGTGTTTCTATCAACACACACACACACACACACACACACACACACACACACACACACACACACACACACACACACACACACACACGAAACAGTAAGGGGGGTAAAAATAACAACAGAGGAACTTCAAAGACTCGGTTAAAATAAAAGTCAAGTGTAATGATGACGCAAAAACAGAGAGAAGTTAAAATGGAAGGAGAATTGAATGAAGGATGTTTTCAGTTTACTAGGTTTGGGAATCATTTCTGATTCCTATTTTCTCAGGGGCGAGGTCAAAATTGGTCACGTGTTTATTTCGCAGACGAAACTCATCACTCTAACCCTTTTAAAACGTCACTAGGATAAAAAAACGTGAATCTTTCCAAACTCTGTTTCCTGGGCTCCACCCACCTTGTTCTGATTGGTCGGCTGGGACTCCTTCATCATGTCTCTGTAGGAGAAGGAGGAGACTGAGGACGAGTCTCCGGTGGGCTGACTCCGACTGGGACTGTTGATCTCTGACAGAACCAGCTCCTCCAGACCTGCAGAGAGAGAGGTATTGGTCAACTATGTAGTTATATAGACAAGGGCAGAAGCAAAACGTATTTTAGCCACCTAAAGGACAAGACTTTTTTATGCTGAGGGGAAATCTCTTATGGCAATGACTCCTTTTAGGAATGGTGTTAGGAGTCACTTTAACACAGTTGACCAGCCCTGTAAGACACTCAACCCACTGTTAAATGCAGTGCACTGTCCCTTTAAGACACTCAACCCACTGTTAAATGCAGTGCACTGTCCCTTTAAGACACTGAACCCGCCCTTTATTATAGTGTACTGTCCCTGTAAAACACTCAACCCAACGTTTAATGCAGGGTACTGTCCCTTTAAGACACTGAACGCGCCCTTTAATGCAGTGTACTGTCCCTTTAATGCAGGTGCTGTGAGTGGGCAGAGGGATAAGTATGCTACTTTAAAATGTCTGATTCTCAGGTTTGTGCAGAAGAGCCTTTTAAACATTTATCACTCCTCATAGATTATACATGATGCTGAGGGCTGCCCTGCCCCGCTCTGTGTGTGTGTGTGTGTGTGTGTGTGTGTGTGCGCGTGCATGTGTGGGCGTGCGTGTGTGTATTACTGAAAGAATGACAGGAAAGCCAAAGAAAGGAGAATAAATTAAGATTTGTAACGAGACAAATATTAAGTGTGTAAAATATCCAGTTGAATGCAAAGAAATAGAAAGTGACGGACTGTGCAGGTGTGTGTTGTGTTTGTGTGTGTGTGTGTGTGTGTGTGTGTGTGTGTGTGTGTGTGTGTGTGTGTGTGTGTGTGTGTGTGTGTGTGTGTGTTTCACACACACACACACACACACACACACACACACACACACACACACACACACACACACACACACACACACACACACAAACACAACACACACCTGCACANTGCCTCTCCACCTATTGTGAATGGCGTCTCCCATCTGGTAATTTCCCCATTTTACGGTTACGGGAGACCCGGCCACCTGAACATAATTTAGTGGATCCGTTGGGGGTGGTAACACTTGGTGACTCCGGGTTCCTCGTAAGCAGTTTTTTTTTAGTTGATTATTACTCTCTTTTAATTGTGTAAACAACGTGGTATCATTTAAATACCGTGATTCGATGTTAATGATGAAACTTTAGTAGTCCAAGAACGGAGTAAAAGGAGTTAACAAGTATAAACCAAATAATTTTATTACTTATAACAACAGCAACAGTTTTTTTACACGACGATACATAATACCTCATAACTAATAAACATATTTCGCGCGAAAGACGCGCGAAGGACAGTAAATCCTCAATCTTTACATTACCGATACATTAACTAATCTAATCTTGGGAAGTAATAGGAATTTGACGACCCCTGTAAAGGGGAATTTCGGTTATGGAAATATAACCAGAATGAGAAGTGAATGAACAGTCGTCATCCAGCCGTAACTACATGTCTCCGCTGTCCTTCTGGAACAAATATAACGGTAGTATAACTCTCCACGTCACTACGCCAGGATTTTGGCCCTTCAATCGACCGACGACCAAGGGAGCTGTCTTCCTTCCGTTACCTAAAGAGGTGTGGGTCCACGCAAACCTTTTATCGACCTTTATTCCAGACACCTTTTGTTTTGGACAAACTATTTACGTGCAAAAACAAGTCGGCCTACTATAGGTGTAC